AGAAACTTATATTCCTGAACGAACTGGTCATAACACTTGATCTGATCTTCAGCTAAATCACGACGACACAAACACACAAGAAGACGTTTTCATGTATTGTTTGAGCACACCATGAGAAACAGAATGCGAATCCTGAGGCGAATTAATTCAAAACAGTCCATTCAAAGAAATGCTGTTCACAAGAAGCATGTTAATGTGAATCATGCCTCAAACAAAATACTTTTACATTTGGATGTTTCAAAGATGCTTTCATTGTTTGCGGTGCACATTTTAATCCGTTTCTTGTGTTCCCTTCAAAACGGAAGATCACTCGAGCTTAATAATGTTGACTTGCATAAATATGGAAAGTGTTACAGAAGCACCTCTACAATCCTTAATGTTCACATCAAGGCCAAACCGATCTCATGAGACGTAATGATCTGGACAACATGGAGGAGAATATACAGCTCAATGGATGTTGGGTGACGCGACGGGAAGAACCTGAACACACCTAACCCAGAGCGTTTCTGTGTTTAAACCCGTTTGTAAAGAGGAACGCTGCTGAGCATGTGCAGGTCTGATCCAGCGTTACATCAGGTTATTGCTGCCAAAGGAGGATCAGGCTGTTATTAAAGTTATTAAGGATTCACATATTGTTTCACCCTGAGCTGTGACGGTTTCCACTGCATGTTCAACACAGAGCTGAAAACCACATTTTGTGTGTGTTTGTTTATGGCTGCGACTGAGCTTAAGATCAGATCATTAGGACTAAGAATCTTTCGAAACCATTAAAGAAGAAAATGTGGTGGTTTTCTCCTCAGATTGCTTTTGTATTGATTGTGGATATCAGCTGAGGAGATCAGAGCGTCAGACATTGGCAGCTGTCCATGATTAAATCAACACTAAATTGGTGAAAGCAATTAATCAAGTTGGTCATGATACAGCTGATTACACAGTGTCAGGATGCTGTCAAATCCAACTTAAAGAGTTTCTGTTATCCTAAACCCACACCAGTGAGATGTTGCTCATGTCTGAGCTTTTTTTTTTTTTCCTGCAAGCAACCAGATTTTGAAATGTGCTTTATGAAACCGGAGAGTTAGCAGGGCTAAAAAAAAAACTACAAAGGTATCATAAAAGTCCATGAGTTTTTCACTGTTTTGAGTCATATTAGAGCTTTGCGTGTCGATGATTGCAAATGCATTCATTCTGTTGAGAGCATACGTGCAATATGCGCACGAGCAAATGAGATTTGTGGACTGTGGCAATGGACAGGACATCAGAAGACTTGAAAAAAATCATATTGACTACTTTTGAGGCTGTTTCTGAATCTCTCGGAGCTTCACATGCCCCTGATCGCTTGCATTTTAGAGTCTGAACATTCAGCCTGTCCTGTGAAAGAAAGAAAATGATGCTGGTTTAGAGCGACACGAGTGTGACGATGACAGTGTCATCTTTAAATATTGAATATTTTATTGATAGACTACAGTAGTACGTAACGTGTATTTCTTCTCAAGTAAGAAGGAAGTTTGGGTCAAAGATCAGGGGCAGTGCAGGTCTGTCCGGTGGCATCGGTGACTCAGAATCATCTGAACATGTGCACCGCTCACACCTGACCATTCATATTTCACCTCACACCGCGGATGTTTGCGCCGCCGGGTGCATGCGCTGGGCAAAGTGTCAGGCTACAGCAGAACTCTATCACAGACTCCTGCTCAGAATGTAAAGGAGGAAGCTGTAATCATTTCCATGGGGAATGCTGGTTGCTAGGCTACAGGTCAGTCTTGAGAAATGACTTGGGGGAGAGCCGGCGATGGCGCAGTGTATGTAATATTAAAGCAGGCTAATTTGCAGAGAATCGCAGCATTTCTTCACTTTGGCTTTCTGAAATATGGTAATTTGAGACCAGAGCAAACTGTAAACTTATTGGGAGCGCTTGGAGCCGCTTTGTTTTCTCTAAAAGCTTTTGAAATGCACCGTTGCCTGTATCATTCACAAGTACCGTGCGGAATATGAAGATTTATGTGGCGTATTCGACCCTTATGAGAGTCCTTAAGCGAATGATAGAAAGTATTTTCAGTGTATTATTGTACAGGCACAAAGACTAAACTGTCAGTTTTCAATAGAAAAATGCCTTTTTCAGGAGCACGTTCCCATCTACTGCAGTTAAAACGCTGCCTCTCGTCTCTGCGCTCGGCCGTTCTGACAGACAGATGGTAAATTATTAACTGATTATGTTCCAAATTCATACAGGGAGTGCCTGCGTTAAACCTCAACCTGACTGGGATAACATTTTTAGTACAAAACATTGCATTTTGCCTGAACAATACATTGCTCTCAGAAGTGGAGACTTAGAGGGCTTTTCATTATTTTATATGGGACCGATGTTTTTAGTCAGCAGCCATTTGCAGAGGGGAAGCTTTCGCTCGCCTCGTGCTTCTGCTTGTACTTCAACCAGTCTACTACACGGACTCCATTTAAGTGTCATATTTTCATCTAAATGCTGATAGGGAAGACATGGGAACTGAGATAGGAGGCCGTCTCACTCCTAAAGCTTTTGCAAATAAGGAATGTAAATGCAAAAGGCTTTGTTTGTGTGTGAGAATTGCATTTTCACCCCTGAAGTCCAATGAATTTAAAGGAGGTTCCGGCAGCTCCGGCTGGTACGCGAGCAGCGGGTATTAATTCACGTGTCCAAAAACAAAACCAAAAACAACCGAACATATCAGCTAGCTGCTGAAGCTTGTTCGGTTGGTTAGTTTTAAGACACATGGGCTTTTTCTGGCTCTGCATGAGAGCTGTACGGGGAAGACGTGGCGATTTGTCATGCTGCTCTGATTTCTAGGTGTAATGTAATTGCATTTCTTTTCTTCTCAGACTATTTTACACAAGTGTTCCCAAAGTTAAAATGTAATATGATTTATAAATGTACCAAAAACCATTTTAAAATGAATAGCTGTTTACCTGAAACTTTCAGGCAAGGTTGTCTGTAGCAAAATGCTGAAGAGAAAGCTGGTGAACTGTAAGGTTAAAGAGGTTCGCCTGTCTCATGCTGTTCCAAACCTGTGTGACTTTAGCTGCGTTTCGAAGGCTGTGTCCTCTGCAGCTCACATCTGTTGGCCGTATACATCTTTTTGTAAATTGATTCAGTTTATAATGGATTTCACAAAAAAAGAACACTTTGTTCACATCTCTACTTCTCTCATGAACTATAATGAACATGTTCCTTAAATCATATGAATCTGTTGAATATTGTGCAAGAGTCAATTACTGGTTTTGATGAGATTTTTATGGTGCTTTTTGTCATTTTCTCCTCGTTGACTTCCATGAAATATGGCCAGTCTTACATTTGATCTTACGATCATTTCTCAAATGTGTGTACATGTGATTCAGAGAACAAACATACGCACAAAAAATGTGCATACTCCTCTCTTTCAGATTTTCAGATCTGTAAACGATGCCTAATTAATGTCATTAACATATAATAGAGCACCAGTCAACGTCCCAATTCTTTACTTGAGAATGGCGAGTGGCAAGAATTGCTCAGATTTCCAATTACCTGCATTACTCAGACACTGAAAAGTGCGTACGTCTGCTTAGACCCAGATGTTGCGCTAAGCACTTTTCACATATGAACTTCAGTGAGGACACACACTCTAAGATCAAATCTGTACACATGCACTTTTTGTAAATGAGGGCCCTGAACCGGAAGCAATGCATCCTGTTTTAACGAATACAGACGTTTGTGACGTGCAACCCGTATTTTATAAAGCCTGTATAACTTTCTTCTGTGAAGCGCATAAAGATAATTTTTGAAGAATAATCTGGCCACATTTCACTTCTACGCAACAATTTATAAATTAGGCCCCAGGTCTTTTGTATGTGCTTCGGAAAATGTGGAGCTGGTTTATCTTAAATAAGAAAGAAGAAGAAAAAAAACGTTTTGATATCGATCTGCTTATGTGATGGACATGGGCTATGATCATCTTTGATATATGCAGACATATGCAGACTGATATTGAAAATGTTTTATTTTTCTTCGCTCTAACTCTCAGATATTAAAATTGAACAAAACAGCAACAATAAAAAACAAGCTATCTAGGTTAGCTGATTACCTTAAAAATCCATAGAAATTGGCATCAGTTCATACTCTTTTCTCCGACAAGCGGATGAGACCTGTTTAGGTCAGGTGACGTTCATCATACACCCCAGTGTATTTTAGGATGAACTATAGCTAACCCTAACCTAACCTTTCTAACCATGGCTTATCTTTATTCACTGAATTTAGCTGTTTTCTATATCATGAAGCTCTTTCGTATAGTGTATTTCAGTGTTTTTTGAGGCACACAAACCTTTTTCACATACATTTTTATGTTTAGAAAAATAAGGACCATATATTTGAAGCTACTACAACAAGCATAATATACTCATTTGTCTTGTGAGTCACTGCAACACAGTCTACAGCCAGATATCAACAGTTGTCATTTGTTTCAACAACATTCGCCCGATTCCCATTCTACAAACACATTTGAAAGGACACACATACAGTATCATATTACTTTAAATGGTCCAACACTGGGTTAGTGGGTTGTCTATAGTTCTGAAGTCTTGAATCTCTAAAAATCAAACTACAATAATACAACTGCCAACGACAGCAGACTTGTCCATTTACTGTGGCTAAAAGAGCTTATTTACAATCATCTTCGCAAAACAATTAATGGCCAATAACTGAAGAACAAACTGATACTTGCTAGCCATAGCCAACCGAACGAATGAACAGAACAGAACGAAATGCAACTTTTACTTGATTGTGCTTTTTAACCCACAAAACCACTTCGTCGTTGAAATGGAACATTTTCGTAGAGGCACCAAAAGAAGTGCGCGAACATCATGAGAACTTCTAAAGATATTGACTAGGACCAGAAGTACAAACAGTATTTGTATTTATATATATCTATATATGTATTTATATATAAATTTATACAGTTCTGTTCCATGTCCATACCTTTCATCGTACGCTCTTTCTTCTGACGCTCTGTGCGACTCCCCATGCAAAGCCCTTACGAACGCTGAATCTGGCAAGTGAGTCCTTCCATATTAGTGATCAACAAAAAGATATAAATGAATGGATATGCACACAGAATCGTCTCAGTGTTGACTCTAGAGTCGCTGGTGTTGTGTCAGTCACTAGAGAACTGCTGAAAAGGACCGGATCCGAGTCTAGTCTGGCTCTTGGACGCTTCTGTTGTTGCTTGGCCTTGTGGCTCAACCATCCACGAGTTTGCAAGCGGTTAAACAGTTACTTCGGTCTTGCTCCCTGTGCGGTAGTGATGGTGATGCTGCTGCTGCTGCGCGACGTAGTGCAGCTGCTCCATCGTCTGCGTGCGGCGCGAGGCGAAGGCCTGCCTCTTGGAGGCCGTCTGGTTCATGGTCGCAATGTTCTGCGGGGTGTTGTTCGAGGCACTGGGATGGGAGTGCATTTTTGTCATCTTGTAGCAGTCCAGGATAGGCGTAGTGGGCATAAACACGTCCGTGTGGGATATGGCTCTGGACATGGACTTGTCGCTGTGGAACCCGGAGCGCTTGATGGACATCATCTTGTCAGGGGAGATCAGCGGATCCTTGGAGTGAAGGCGGTCCTGTGAGTAGAGGCGGTCCTGGGAATGCAGGCGTTCCTGAGAGTGAAGGCGCTCCTGCAACATCAAGCGGTCCTGTGTGTGGATGCGGTCCTGGGAGTAGTGGCGGTCTTGTGAGACGAGCCGCTCGTGGGAGCGCAGGCGCTCGGCCGACAGGAGCTGCTCGTCGGAGAGGATGCGTCCGCCGTACGGGGAGATGTCGTAGGGAGACATGGGGTAGTCGTTTTCGTGGCTGCGCTCAGGGGACAGCACGCGGTCCTGGGACATGGCCCTCTGGACTCTGCGGGGACGCTGGCGGGGCTCTTGCTGCTGCTGGCTGCTCTGGGACTCCTGGTTCATCTTGATCATGTGCAAGGGAAGAGATCCTCGTGCCGCTAGGTCTGGAAGATTCCTCTTCCTGCTGTAGTAGTCGTCAACGTCCTTATCCGCTGCATGAAAGCACAAGCAGTGTAAGTTTCAGAGCATTCAAGTCAACATGAAATCAAAAGTTGGTTAGTTGTCAAACTGCCTTTGTCTCTCAAACGACTTTCCTTTTCGGCTGACTTTTTTAATCACCTGGGTCTGTTCTGATATATGGAGACTTTTATTTACGAATCATTAATGGAAAAACCCAAGTCTCATACATTTTTTATTTTTTTTGGTTACATTTCATATAAGTAACTTTGCAACTACATGTCAACTAGCAGTCATTACAGTATCAGTAGACTGTCTGCTTTTTGATGGACATTCTACTGACTATAAGGAGCTTTGCAAATACATGTCAACTCATTCTACTAACCCTAACCTAACAGTCTACTAACACTCTGAGAGTTACTGAAGTCGGAATTAATGAGAGTTAATTCACATGGTTACACATAGATGTTCTTACTGAATATCCTTTTTTGTTTGGAACTGCATAAGATTACAGAAGTAAAATGGTTTCGCAAGCCATTTAAACTACAGCGAGTAGTGAGGAGTCAAGTAGGGTTGCAAAGAGGTGGAAACATTCCAGACATTTTGGAAACGACCCAGGATTTTTTGGAAACTTTCAGAAATGTTTGGAAATTTCCAGAAATTTACTGGATATTTTCTGCCCATTTGCATCCCTAGAGTCAAGTAATAAGATACTTTCAAACACAGAGATTTTGCTCTTCTTCGAGATTCATCATGAATCACAGCTTGAGAGCTTCAGGACACAAACACGTTCAGGACAGTCCGGACAGCCAGTGACTGTACTGTCACAAACTATGTGATTGGAACTGGAAATAATTAAATTATCCACTGCTCGTAATTAATATATTCTGGGGGAGCTAATGCCCTTGAGATCTCAGTTACACTTGATAGATTTCTCCACACATTTAGAGCCCAGTGATATCGAAGTGAATGCAATAAAGGAGTGTATCAAACAAAATTACAGCCACAAATTTTTCTATTAGTGAGAATTAATCGAATAACTGTGACTGTGAAGTTTTGCAAAAAATAACAAAAATGCACAATAATTCACAGCCCGAGGTAGTGCCAGTCATATTAGTGGGACATCTGAAACAGCGTGTCTTGAAGGGATTAGATTCAGTTTGTTAGGAGATAAAAGAGCTAAATAACACCATTTATCTCACACTCAGCAAAAGGATAAACACTGTGTTATGTGGGGAAATTAATGGCACATAATCTGTTTATGGTGATTACAGATTAAATTAATCTTCTTCATAAAGAAGTCTCCTTTTGAAGGTTTGTGAATATTAGCAAAATAAACATCAGGAGAAGAGGAGGAGGATGCTGGAGACAATATTAACAGGACTCTAATGCACGGAAACGGCACAGCGCTCAGCTCTTTCCTGCTAACTGCATCCAACATCCAACACGATCTGTCAGTGCAAAACACCACTGAAGCTCCAAAAGAACAGCTAAGCCTTTTGGCTACACCCTACAACAAATAACTTGCTTCGGAGGCATATCTGAGATTCGATGGAGGCGCTGCCACAGGAGGGTCTGCTGCCCTGAATAGTTTAGTGTATGATTGCATGTTTTCGCTGGTGGAGGTTCGGCGGACGCGGTAGAACTGCAGATGAGCGGGGCTGTCAATTTCCCTGGCCTCGGCTGGGTTCAGGGCGAGGAGTGATCTGAGGCGTTCTTTATGCAATTACACAAGCCTCAGGGGAATGTACTTTTCACTGAGGGAATATAATGAGCTGAGACCTTATTACACAGCAAAAGAACCTGCCACTAACTGAATCAATAGGATAGGGCTAAGGCCACGAGAAAGCTTTACTCAGTGATATCAGATTCAGATCGAATCCGTGGTAGTGGGTAATGACCGCCTGTTGAGGACGAATGCTAACAGTCCTGATGAGATGAAATGAAGGCTCTGAGCCATAAAATATCCCTTTTATCACTGTTAATTTATGTTCATTCTTGATACACTACTCTTAACTGAGTAGTCAGTTAAGAGACCTTTAACTTTAACCTTAACTTTGAGACCTTATTTCATAATAGTCATAACTAATGTTAACAAACTTATCATGAATTATTACTTTATAATATAATAAAATATACATGATAAAATTAATAGAAAAGTATTTGTAGATGATGCCAACCCCTCAGAGGACCTCAGATGATGCCAACCCTGAAACAACATACAGAACTACCACATTTTGCTATAAGTTTGATTGCATCATATAACAATTGCTGTTAATAGTGTTCATTGTCTGTTTGATTATGTCTTTAATTGATTTTTCCGTACATTTCTGCCATATGTACATTAACTGACAGTCACCACTGATAAGCTACCACTAAATATTGTAGAAACTTAATAAAGTTGCTTTGCAACGATTTGTATCGTGAAAAGCGATATACAAATAAACTTGAATTTAATTTAATTTAATTTAATTTGTGACAAGTATCTCACATCAGCATGTTTTGTAATGGCAACTCTAGATCTCACAACTGGGACTTTATTTTTCTGTGTGACTAATGTTAACAAACTCAACTTTATTTTAAAGTTTAGCTGAAGAGAGATCATGCTTAGCAGAGCTGAGGACATACTTAGTCTCTTGAGCGAGGAGTATTTGTTGAGGTCCGCTTTCACGGCAGATTCGTAGGATGGGGGGAGGTGGGACAGGCTCTGGAAGGAGCGTGAGAAGGACAGATCGTACGGCTCGGTCTGCGAGGTGAGGATGCTGTTCATCCGGGTGCTCTCTGTGGGCAAGACAAAACAAACCATCCAATCTGTATCTGGGCAAAGTCAAAATCACAAATGCAAACATCTCCACTGTCAATCAGAAGCTCTGTTGTCAGGTTTTCTGCACACATTTGACATGTTGGAAGACATTACTGTGAGGAGGGATGAAGGGGATTTAGTGGCCAGAAAAAGACCAGAGTCGCAGTGCCATGATGACCAATGGCATTCGATCGGCCGTCGCATTGATAGCAGAGGAGCGATTTGGTGACTGATGTGATGTGACGTGTGTGTGGTGGCCCCTGCGTGCCCGTCACGCCAGTCTGAGTCTGGGCAGGCTGAGGATCAAGCCCTGGTTAAAAATAGGGCAGGGTCTAGCGCAGCAGAATGGGGCGGGACTCGACAACACTCCAGGGAGCCGGTGGGAGCTCAGTCTGCGGGTGGAGTGGGGGGATACGAGGGACGAGCAATGTTTACACAACAGCATTTTGCACTCGTTCAGTTCATGCCATGGGGTTTGTGAAGTGGAAAACATTCATCTTCATTGGAGGGAGGAGGAGGAAAGATAGAGAATCAATGAGGTTCAAGATAACTTACCATGCCTTAGAGATCTGTGAGCTGGGCAATTCAAGGGAAAAAGAACGCAGTTCAATAACAGCACTATGTGGAGAGAGCAGATGAAATAGAGTTTGGGACGGGCTGCTTTGTGTTCTCGTGCTCTTCTAATGATGAAGCATCGTGAAATGGCATTTTGATTTGGGCTTTTTGTCAAAGTGACTATTTGCACCCGCTGTAGAGAACCGGGTCCATACAACGTGACGAGTTTCACAGCAACAGTGTGGAGTAACCAGACAAACTATGAGAACACGTGATGTGGATGTTAGAGACGTGTTGATCATGTGTTCAGTACTGCGCTTGCAGGTGAGGCCACTTCATGTTCTGCATATAGACATCATTGTGTCTGCCAGAAACACTCTAGGATCCAGAGTGGGTTTTTGGACAATTACCTCTGGAAACCAACAAAAATGATTTTATTCTTTGTTCTTTTTTTTATTATATAATGGATATAACAGTGGCTTGGCCATGTTGCTGTTTATCTGCTAAGGCCAGCAAACCATCTTGATTTAATGTTTGTTTTTTTCCCCTGTTATGAATTCATTATTTCTTCAGGTTGTCCTTTACCAATGCAAAGTCACCTAAAAGTTGTGCTGCCCGATATTTTTGTGGAAACTGTGACACATTTTATTTTTAGGATTCACAGATGAAAAGAAAGTTCAAAAGGACAGCATTTATTTGAAATAGAAATATTTTGCTTTACTAGCACTTTTGATCCATTTAATGCATATTTTTGCTAACTTTGAATGGTAGCGTGTTATTGAACTGTGTAATGTGTGGGGGGGGTGTTATTTTGTTAAATACTATTTTTAATAGCATATGTTGCTAGACAAATTGTGTAAATAATGTACAGGCTCTTAACAGCTTGATCTCTGCTGAAGCCATATTCAGACGGGATTGGTTTTACATGGAGAGGTGAGGCAACGTAATTATTACCAGAGCTTCTCAGTGATTTTAGTCATGTACGAATGTGCCATCTCAGTAAACATTACGGATAGTCAGTAAAGAGTACGGCGACTTTTAGCTTCTGTAAAAAGGTCTGGAAAAATTACCTCAGGTAATGCTAATCCCATGCGTGTAGACAAGCTGTAAATAAGTATGTAAATATTCTGTCATTTCCTGTTTAAAAGTAGTTTTACTGCGATTTCTTATTCCATGCGAATTGTCCATTAATATTCCAAACGCCCTGTGTCCGAATAGGGCTTTAGATGCTAAAAAGATGGCAGGCTAAGCTGACCGATGCTTCAGAGACACCTACTGTATAAGCACAGGCTACATAAGTCATTATAGATCACAGCAAGAGGGGAAGAGTATCTCTTTTCATGCAGTGAATTAGCTGCTCTGTGTGAACGCAATAACAGGCAAAAACACTGATCCTTCGGGGAGCCTTTGAAGCGTGTTGGGTTGGAAAGCGATCCATCTTTAGACTCCTATCCTACACCAACCCAAGCCAGACTCGAATGCTTCACCAACGGCAGGGATTTAATCAGTGCTAACAATCTGAGCCGTTTCTGCTCACTAGTGAGAGGCTTTCCAGCTGCACATTACAGCAACAGCAGCCCGAGCTCTGCTATCATAGAGCCTTCAATAAAACATTCTGGGGACAGATGATGAGAGTTTTGAGGCATGAGTTTGAACGGATGGTGTCCTCTGAACACAGATGGGATAGTGCTTTGACGAATTGGGCATGCAGAGCTATAAAGGTCTCATTTCAGGTCACAGAAATATAACGTGAGGCTCCAGGTGTCAGACTTATAAGATTTGACATGTCAGAGAGGTTCAGGAAAGCACAGTAATTCACTGCATGGCTGGCTGTAAATTGCGTCCTCTCCAGAACATGAACTCAAATCAAGGTCCTCGGTTTGTTTAATGGTAGTGATGATGAAGATGGACAACACCATCCATGTAAAACCAACTGTTCAAAGGACCAGCTGATCTTGAAGGCATGCAAACACAAATAATCAATGTAAAGCACTCGACAGTAAGATCATACCGGTGAAATGGTGCTGTTAGATGAGGAACCTTACCATTTTTTGGTGTTCGAGTTGGGCTACTGAGACCAAGATGGTTGTAATTATGTTGATGGACTCCTGCAGAAAAAGCAATGACAAGTCTGATTTGGTTGCAAAATAAAGGCAAGCATGATCGATTCTAATCCAGAGTGTGATCACTTCAATGGGAGAAAAAGCCTTTAGCAAAAAGGGAAGCACATTAATAGCAAAGATAAGCATTGCAACATGCACTACATGGCCAAAAGTATGTGCACCACCAATATGTGCTTGTTTCGATTTCATTCCAACACCCCGGGCTTTAAATAGGGACTGGATCCTCCTTTGCTGCTCTTGATTGCTGTGATGTTTGGTGCAGGATACTCAATCCTTTCCACACCAGACTCACTAAACCTTTCCATGAGTCTTTAGCACGGTCCTTTATCATCACCTTTTTGATCACTGCCAAATCAAAAATGATTTAATTTTTCAGAACTAAAAACATCTGCTTAAGCAGACAGCATGGCTAAATGTTTGATTTCACGCATGTTAATAATGTGTGTACCTAAAACAGCTAAACCTGTTCATTAGAAGACATCCACATACTATATATTTGGCTATATAGTGCACATAAAGCATATGACAAAAGTAGCAGCAACAAACAACACACGTACAGTTAACATTGTTGGTCAACCAGCTTTTAAAAAATATTTAAGTTAATAAAAGTAAATGCTTACTGTTATTATTGTAAAATGTAAAATTAAACTCATTTACACAATATCTGCTCAAAATCACTGACATGATACTTGAAAACACTAATTATGCATTATTCTTTGACAGGGAACTATACATTTTCAAATTGGCACTTGGCAGAATGACCACTTTTGTTAATTGCTCATGCAGGCACAGTTATTGAATGATGGCCCTAATCTCACACATCCGAACATGGAGCGATGCAATTCTCCATCACTCACCAACAGCTGCAGAAGAGCAAAACCGTGTCATTTACTAAATCGGCGGTTGCAGCAATAATGGACGTGCTGCATATGATGATGTGCATTAGTTCAGAGTTCATGATCAGCACGTCATTGAGAAGCGTTGAGGCTGCTTCACAAGCTGATATTTTTCAGGAGCTCTATTACAGGACTGAAGTTGCTCTGTCATCTGTCATGAAGTCGTGTGTGTGTGTGTGTGTGTGTGTGTGTTTAGCGTGGCTGGCGGCCGATGGCTCTGTGATGGGCTGCGGTGGACTACGGTGATGAATGGCAGCTATTCTGAGCTGGCAAAGATGGGCTCATGAAGCGCCCGTGATAAATGGATGAATACTAGAGGGAGCACAGCGTTCTGCTCGTCTGGATATCTGCTGTTGTGCCTGTTTAAAAATGCATTAGAGTGACTAGTTTAACATCCATTTACATCTGTCATGGAGCTCAGATGATTGAAGACCCCTGTTTCGATAGAACGGAGTCGGAGAATAATGGAGTTATTCGATGAGATGGAGGTGTTTTTCCTCAATAACCTGTAGTCTGTATACTAGGGATGTAACGGTACATGTATTCGTCCCGAACTGTCACAGTACGGACATCACACTTCGCTTCATTCAGTCAGACGACAAATACAGTCAGTCATAGGCGATCATGCCAGGTAATGCAACGCTAACCGTCACAACAGGAAAGAGCAGAAGAAGAGACTATGCAGCAACCCAAAATAAGATGGCAGAGTTCAGATGCCACACAAGAGCTCGAAGAGCTGCCTTCTTGTTTTAAATCAGCAGTGTGGGAAAGATGCCTGGCTATAAATCTGAACCTGTTTTTAGTTTTATTTTGGTTGATCTATATTCCGGAATTACACACAAAGTGAATTGCAATAATCCCCCCCCAAAAAAACCGAGGTATGTACCGAACCGTGACTTCTGTGTACCGTTACACCCCTACTGTATACTGTATATGCACAATATAGATTTAGTAATATAGTTTTTGTTTATTACAGGGTTCCTCAACGTTTTCAGGCCAACTCAGACTACAGTAATGTCAGTAACACAGGGCAAACTTACTGTAGGAAATCCAAATACACTGCACAATGACAGACTAAATCCAGAAGAACTGTGGCCATATCTCCAAGACGCTTCAAGAAACCTTCCTGTAAAGCTACCTGAAAAACAAGTGCAAGTGCACCGAGGACACAAGCTGCTTTAAACGCAAAGTGTGGTCGCACCAAGTATTAATTTAATTTAGTTAATTGATAAAGAAAATCTATTTATGACATTATTTTTGAAAGCATCTGCACTTTACAGTATTTTTACACAAGTGCCTAAAACTTTTCACAATACTTTACACAAAAAGTTTTTCTTGAAGCGTCTTGGAGACACAGTTTTTCTGGATTGAGTCTGTCTCAGTTTGTTTTGTTTCTTCATGTAATCGCAGACAGACTGGATGATTGTGAGATCAGATCTCTGTGTGCAGAACTGGCTGCTGTCAGACTCCTTGTGCAAACAAATATCTCACTGCATTATTACAATTAATGGCAAAATGAATGTATGGAAATGTAAACTGATATTTTCCTACTGACACACTACAGCAAAAGATAGAAATAACTGACTTATTTTCTTGTTTATCACTGTACTGTAAAGCTGCTGTATTATATTAAGAGCTGTACTGTATAAATAAAGGTGACTTGATTTGAAATCATTGTAATATGCTGACTTGCTGTTCAAGAAACATATGCATGGAATCTGTGATTTCTTTTGATGAATAGAAAGTTCAAAATAGCTTTTATTTGAAACAGAAATCTTCTGTAACATTATAAATGTCTTTACTGTTACTTTTGATCAAATTAATGCAGCCTTGCTGAATGAAAGCATATAAACGGCAGTGTATTTGTTCACTGAAAAATCCTGTTTCTGGAATAATACGTCAAAAAGGGAATCAATGTAAGCTAAAAGCATGATTTTATTGTCTTATACTGTGTGTTTCAATGTTCAGCACGGTCTGAGATGAGAAGTACTGTATTAGTCTGATGATCTCCTCGCACTGTCTACAAGCACTGATTAAAAGTGACAAAGTAAAAGTTAAGGAGGCAAACACTACATTCACAGCAGCACCGATGAAAACCAGAGCTCAAAGCGAGTCTTGAGTTCTAATTAATAAGAAGCATCATCCAGTTCAGTGATCCTGCTTTAATCTGGGGACCAATTAGTTGCTTTTGAGAAGGTGGTTAGTTGAAGTCTGGCTGTGGGCCGGAGGTCTGAGCTCTCTCCAGTCACTGTCTCTCAGCATACGTGCCAATTTGGGCTCGCTCGGCCCAAGGCTCCAGGTCATTTAGTCAACAAGAAGGGGCTCGAGCCGACTGCTCGTAACGCGTCGTGAGGTTAATGAAGAGTTTCACCAGCTCTAGGAGAGGCTGCGCAATGCTGTCTGAGCTCTTCACTGATATCAGACTCAATCAGGTGAATCTGGAATCTTTTATTTTGTTTCTGAACCAGACAGCAGGTTGTAATGTTTGTTTTGTCTGGTTTATGATAGCATAAAAGAACACAATGCCTTTAATAGCTTAAACGCTGATGATTTCAGAGTTATCTTGAGCTGTTTGGAGAGACTTGCTGACATGAACAGCAGTGCGGTCGCTTTTAGAAGTCATAAGCTGTGCATCATTTTTAATATTGCGCTGAAATTTACTTTGCATGAATCAGACACCACAAATGTTGTTGATTTGGCCTTTTGAAAGTGAAACAGTAGCGACGCCAGAGCCTACAGCTGATGAATCGTCACTTTGCACATACTCCTGTTTCACATCTAATATAACCTGACAACAGTTTGAATAGTAATGTCCAGATGGCCAAGTAATGATTCAGTCGTTTGACATTTCTCTTGCTTTTCCTCCAGAGAATGAAATGCGTCGACATCATCAGAAGGGGTAGCTGTTTGTCATCGCATTTACATGAGATCTTTGTGGGCGCGTTTCATTTGACAGTATCATCAGATAGTCCAGGATTAGCGCAGAAGTAGCTTACAAGAAGGCGGTGCTCTTTATAATAAATCTCACGATAAGCAGGCTTAATAACTGAAACAATTACAACAGTAATAGCATACATCTCATGAGTCATGGTAATAAATGATCCCAATATAGCTGATACCTGGAATAAAACAACAAGTTAAAAGTTAATTTACGATGAGAGCATGATTGACATTTCCTCTGATTCCTGTGGAAACGAAGTTCAAATCAAATAAAAAATTTATTGCAAAAAACAAGTAGCAGCAAGTAAACAAGGTCATGCGAGAACATTTACATGAACAGCTGTGTAGCCTCTAGTGCTCGTTCCCTTCTGTCTCATCCGGTCCGGCCCTCTGTTGACGAGAATTAACAACACGCTTCTGCCTCCTTGATGAATACATCGTGCCAGAATATTAGGTCAGTAAGCTTCCAGCATGCCAAGCACATCTTAGAGCACGGCCAAATACATCTGCTTGTCTGAGTTCCTTTGTTAAAATATCTGGCTGCAAATGACAGAAACCCCAATCTTCCCTGATAAGAACCTGACGAGTGCGGCGTATAGTCTGGAAAAGCCACACGAGCCTACTGCTCTCCAGAGGTGATGCTGACTAATGAGGGTCCGGAAGGGACTGAGACACCAGTAGGAGGGAGAAGAGTATGAGAGCGTCACATTTCCTTCCGGATGTTGGTCGAGTTTATGCACCTGCTCAAAATGCACAGCTATGACACTGCTTTAGAAACAGGGCAATAATGATATAGTCTTCTGGGGCCGGACCTTGCTGACAATTTGAATCCATTTCGCTTGCCCTTCTCCTCCGTTTTTGACGAAGGCAGAGCCGGAAAGCCACTGGGGTTTGGCATTTAACCACTGACAAAAACGGTTAACTTTTAAATGTGAAATGTCATAGTAGTCCTACATGTATGAAAATGCAATTCCCCACTGAAGCCCACGGTTTGACCCGTCCTGCAATAAATGATGCTGTACTGTATGCCATCTAATCACAGTACATACACTGCTCTTGCTCAGTATTTGTGTATTGTTATCCAGGAAACATTCTTAAAATCAAGATATATTTTTAGAGAAGTTGTGTTAAGTGAGTTTTTAAAGTTATTTGCCAATGAACTGATGAACTGATTTTTTCTGAACATGTTTGTTTTAAGCCAAAACCTTGATACATTTTGATGTATTTTTCAGAAAGCAAGACTTAAGTCATTTTGCTACTCGACAAAATGTATCTTGATTTAAGAATTCTACTGGAAAACAAGACAAAAATACTAAGGACATTTTTTGCAGTGTGTCTTCTTTACCAGAGAGTTTTCTAATTAATGTGGATTTTGAGACACAGCAACCTTTGGCTCTTGAAGCAGAAGGGTGATGGGTAATAAAGCTTGTGTATTTGCTTTTAAAGCTGTGCTGCACTGACAAACACATACTGATTGAGTGACTTCACAGCTTCTCTCTCGGGATAAGATGGAAAAGCTCTGCGCTGGATCGTTTAGCAATATCACAGACATTTCAGCAATTTCATGGACACTGACCCAGACACGTTCGCTCCATACTTAACAGGACATCAAAGCACTGAATGTACCTGCAGATCCTTTCAGATGTGTTTTATTTAGTTTTTTATTCATTTACTTCTCATAAATGTAAATAAAGACCACTTAACTCACAAGAAAAACAGCATCAACAACAAACATGTACAAACACATTTTAAAAAGACCCTTTGGCTTGCACATACCAGGTTGGAGGACGCCGGCAGACCATCTTCTTGTGAGGAGCATCATCACGTTGCCCACAGAGATAAGCACAGATTTTTCTGATGTCTTCTTTAATTAATAAGAAGTAACATCATTCAAAACTGTCTTTATCCCTGCGCTAGCATGCGTGCTCCTCTGTCTGTCGAAGGCACTCTGAATCCGAAGTGATGGAGGAACAGATAATCCGGAGGAATAAAGACACTACAGGGGTGCAGATTAAGCAGGAGAAGAATGATCTAATCAGAGCTACACAGTGAGGAGTGAGCTTACACAGACTTACACATCCACCACAAACACAGACACAGGGCAGAGGCAGAGGCCGAGGGAAGACACACTCAACTACACAGAAGCAGCGTTCCTACCATGATGACTCTGAGACCGAACCGGCCATTGCTTCTCCCCTGGAAGACACAACCAGGTAGAGTCAAGGTGAGTCAACAGATCAAACGCCTTTAACACCAGCATCACTTCCAGCAAAGCAACGGATGCTGGTGCTCATCACAAAAAAAGAATGACGTTATCCTTCCGCTCTGCAAACAATGGCTTTAGACTAAATCAATTAGGATGGAGTGAATCATCGGAGAGAATGCAACTGAAAGAAATGCTCACTCGGATAAATGCATTTTCGAATACGCTGCAATTATTGCTGTGAGCATTTGAATAACACAAAGTTTACTGTGCATTCGTAACAAACACCGTTGCCTTTTAATACTCTGGATGCACATTTTCACCCAAAACTGACAAACACAAAACAGGTCACTGATGAGTCAAGTCAAGTTTTTTTTATTATTATTTTTTTTTCTCAGAAATATTTGAGTATTGTTCGCCATCTCTTTGTACAGTTCTTGTTTCTGAGAGGCCTGTAATCTGCTCGCGGCAGGATAATAGTTGACTTCAGGATTCACTGAGATGCATAAAATCTGAGGTGGCAGAAAAAATTCAATTTCTGTTCAATTTATGCAGTCGCAACACCCATTACATTCTGTTATCCACATCCTCCCAGCTATACATACAATATAACTGAATATATACCAAAGTCAGCGTTCATCCAGCTAGATCTCTCTAAACAGCTTATGAGTTCTGTCAGAGCTTTGAGCCCGACTAACACCGTCCCTTCTACTGATTAATAATGAGAGAAATGCACCACCAGGAAGGAGATAAAAAGATGCTATGAAGTAGCAAACAGTAATGCGCCCTGACCACAGGCTAGTGGAGGTGTAGCGCTTTCATCCATCATTATTGATTACATATCAGCATTTTTCACCAATCATCCTCAGTACCTTTGGCCACGGCGCAGTCCGTTAATACTGGGAATAATGGAAGAGAAACTCAAAAACAGGATTCATTGTCATCGAGGGTGAAGTGATAAATAAATGTCTTTCTTCATTGTGTTTTTTTGTCATATAGACGAGTTCTGCTCTGTAAGGTGTAAAAGTACAATCTGTCTGACAGGACTACTAAGCCATGTAAGCACAATAATTACTAATGACAAATTCTGCTGATTTAATTGCTTACCATTTTTGGACCTTTTTGTTCATTTTTATTAATAGAACTGTATAAAAAGGACAGGGAAAGGGAAGAATGGGCGATCTGGCTCAAAGCATATACAATGAACACCAAATCACAATCTCAGTCTGCCTTATATTTAACATAAGAATGGAAGCACAGCAAATTTCAAACCACTTTTCATGCTTTTTCTTCTTCTACAAAATACTTCATGACTTCAGCATTGCAAATATGGTGTATAACAGGAAACAATGGGAAAAATGTGAGCTGGACTTAAACGTGTGAGTGTGTCAAGTCTAGTCACCTGTATTTCTATAGCATTTTACAAAATACAGATTGCATCAAAGAAGCTTCAAACGCGGTAGGTAACGGACTACATTCAGAGGCAGTCTGTAACAGACTGGATTCAAACGCTGTCGGTAACTGACTGGATTCAGATGCTGTTGGTAACTGACTGGATTCAGGCGCTGTCGGGAACGGACTGGATTCAGGCGCTGTCGGGAACGGACTGGATTCAGAGGCTGTAGGTAACAGACTGGATTCAGGTGCTGTCGGGAACGGACTGGATTCAGAGGCTGTAGGTAACGGACTGGATTCAGACGCTGTCGGTAACGGAATGGATTCAGAGGCTGTAGGTAACGGACTGGATTCAGGCGCTGTCGGTAACGGACTGGATTCAGAGGCTGTTGGGAACGGACTGGATTCAGAGGCTGTAGGTAACTGACTGGATTCAGGCACTGTCGGGAACGGACTGGATTCAGGCGCTGTCGGTAACGGACTGGATTTAGAGGCTGTCGGGAACGGACTGGATTCAGAGGCTGTAGGTAACGGACTGGATTCAGACACTATAGGTAACGGAATGGATTCAGAGGCTGTAGGTAACGGACTGGATTCAGGCACTGTCGGTAACGGACTGGATTCAGAGGCTGTTGGGAACGGACTGGATTCAGAGGCTGTAGGTAACGGACTGGATTCAGGCGCTGTCGGGAATGGACTGGATTTAGAGGCTGTAGGTAATGGAATGGATTCAGAGGCTGTAGGTAACGGACTGGATTCAGAGGCTGTAGGTAACGGACTGGAATCAGGCGCTGTAGGTAACGGACTGGATTTAGAGGCTGTCGGTAACGGACTGGATTCAGAGGCTGTAGGTAACAGACTGGATTCAGAGGCTGTAGGTAACGGACTGGATTCAGAGGCTGTAGATAACGGAATGGATTCAGAGGCAGTCCTGTAGGTAACGGAGTGGATTTAGAGGCTGTCGGTAACGGAATGGATTCGGATGCTGTCAGTAACGGACTGGATTCAGAGGCTGTCGGTAACAGACTGGATTGAGGCGCTATCGGGAACAGACTGGAATCAAAGTCAGTCAGAATCAGACTGGATTCAAATGCCATCGGTAACAGACTGGATCCAGGCGCTGTCGGGAACGGACTGGATTCAGAGACTGTCTGTATATATATTATATATATATATATATATATATATATATATATATATATATATATATATTAAAAACTCTTTTATTCCACATCATCCCAGTTCAAATGATTCCATTTTTATCTATTTATTTTTAAAAATGTTAGGTGTATCCTTGAGTAAAACAACAGAATCCTCCTAAACAAGTAGAATATGGCATCAGAGGGACATCTGAAACATAGCTATACTGATTTTTTTCAATGTTGTTATTTTTCATGACTTTTCCAGGCCTGGTAATCACAATTTTAACATGCCCTGATATTTCCAGTTATTGAATGACCATAGAAATATTACAGACAAAGATTCTTTAAACAAAAATGTTTAAAGGGGTCATGAACTGCCTTTTTAAAATATTTTGTACTGTTTTCTGAGGTCCACTTATAATGTTATCAAGACTTTTACATAAAAAAAACTAGGGCTGGTAATTTAACTCGTTAATTAGATTAATTAATTACGGTGAAAAATTTGAACGATTGAACCATTGGCCATAGGCGCGTTGGATTTGAAGTGGGGCTGCACAGAGTGATCGGTGTGTGACATCAAAGTACCGCAAAGTTTTAGTTTATTATTTAGTGTATCATTACATTAAAGAAATGATTTCATATTTCCATATTAATAATAATAAAATTAATAAATAGGTACAATTCACCCACCCAAAAATGACAATTGTGTCAGAATTTACTCACGCTCATGGTCCAAAAGAATATATGTAATACATTTTATCAAACAAAATGTTTCTTGCTGAAGCTTTTTTTGTAATGTCTGTTTGATGCTTTACACAACAATAACTTTAAAATTTCTCAGCCAAATTTGATGTGCGATTAATTTGCGATTAATTAGATTAATTAATCGCCACATCATGTAATTAATTAGATTAAAATTTTTAATCGCTTACCAGCCCTACAAAAAACATGATATTTTAGCAGTAATAGGCAATTTTCTGTCCTGTTTTGACCCGCTTATCAGAGCGCTCTGTTTGAGTAGGCGTGGAGGATTGTAGACTCAGAAGTAAACGTCCACTGCTGTGATTGGCTAACAGTTGTGTATGATTGACAGCCTACACCCTTCACAGATGGACGCTGCTGTGATTTAGGTCAAAAACGCATAAATACTCAGTTCATATCAAACGATCTATAATAACAGACAAGCAATAATGATCACGTAATAAAAAGAGTTACTCACACTTGTGTGGTGCGACATTACTGTCAGATCCAATATAGTCACACAGCATCGGCTTTTAGTTTCAATCTCTTTGAAAATCCTGTGTCGAATCCTTGTTACTAAACGAATTCGTGGTGAAATAAGTGAACAAATGACCAACCTTTTACTGACGTGGTCTGGAACTTCATTAAAAATAAAGCTAAACCACTCTTTCCTAATGTTGGCATCCGATGGAAGGTTATGCAAAGACTTTGTTTGTCCACAATTTGGCACTGCACAGCGTCTTGTTGTCTTCGGAGCATCTTTATCATTTGGTTTCTGTGTAGACCTGCATTTGTCTCTCTCGTTATTTACACTATGTGCGCGAATCAGTGGGCGGAGCTAAACAGACAGTGCTGTAGAAGCAGGCGTTGGTCATCTTCTGTGGAGGCGGGGTTTAGTACATCATCGAGCGGCACATTCCACAAGCTGTCGTTTTGGCAGATTGGCTTCAATATAAGCTGTTTTTAGAATAATGAGAACATTTTGAAGAGGAAGTTTTGAAGTTCTGATACTTACTGGATGTTTTTATAGTACGATGACCTCTTATATGTCACAAGATCAAGGGGATTTTGATTTCTCAGTTCAACATAACATAACACTGACCACATGGAAGGAATTTATGACCATTAAATCAAAGTAAAACCTGCACAAATAAATAATTGAAGGCTTTGAGAATGCAAACACAGAAGAGGAACAGCGTATCCGCTGGTGAGTGTATTCCCAGCACTGCGCTGCTGTGAATGAATGCATCAGTAACCAAAGCCAAACCAGTCTCACTGCAGTCAGATACAGAAATGCAGCTTGTTATTTACGAGCTTTCTTTGTCTCTGCATCACTGTCCTAAGCAGCTAAAATCAACACTTGCTGTGATAAGCACTCGGGTGGAGTAATAACTCACATTAATTAAACATCCCAGGCAGCGGCTCACTTCAGAGGAGGCCTTCTGTTCCCGAGCACAGAGGCTCATTTCCATTAACATATTAACAAATCAAATCTTTATGTGCCTGTAGAACGGAGGAGAAGCTGTATGTAGTGTACGATGGGGTTCTGCTCTCAGAGGGATTCTCTTATCTGTCCGTGTGATATTACTATTAGCATTCTCTGTTCATTCATTGAGTTTTCAGTTGTTTATTTGTCAGATAAGCTAGTATTTGATCCGCTGGAGAGCTAGTCGCTGTTTGTGCAGCACGTTTCCAGAGAGTCACGTTTCCAGAGA